TAACGTTGTTATTTTATAGATACAAGTATTTAAGCAAATGCTCTGTTTATGATAAACAGTATTAAATAACATTTACCGCCTGAATGTCGAGAAATTTTCATAGAAAATATTCGTTCTTTGACAGGATTCGAACCTGCATCCTATACGGAACCGTCATATACGCTGACGTGCCTTACCGCGTTCGGGGTAGACAAGGTCGAATTTACTGCTTATAAACTCCAATTTTCCATGAATCTCGTACATTCATAACTGCTCTGGCGTATGAATGTAAACAAAATGGCGTCATATATTAAAAGAAATGGACAAAGGTCCGACAATTTATTTATAAAAAGACATTTTATTATGTTTAACGTTGTTATTTTATAGATACAAGTATTTAAGCAAATGCTCTGTTTATGATAAACAGTATTAAATAACATTTACCGGCCTGAATATATGAGTATATGACGGTTCCGTATAGGATGCAGATTCGAATCCTGTCAAAGAACGAATATTTTCTATGAAAATTTCTCGGACATTCAGGCCGTAAATGTTATTTAATACTGTTTATCATAAACAGAGCATTTGCTTAAATACTTGTATCTATAAAATAACAACGTTAAACATAATAAAATGTCTTTAATAAATAAATTGTCGGACCTTGTCCATTTCTTAATATATATATATATATATATATATATATATAGAGAGAGAGAGAGAGAGATATTATATAAATAAAAAGAAAGAACAGTAAGATATATAATCCGGTGTTCTTATAGATATTTTTATTTTTACAAAATAGTGCTCAATGTAAATTTACAGAGCATTAATATTATAAATTAATTGATTTAAAATATGTTTTTTCGCTACACAGTTCTAACCATGTTTCAAAAATGGAAGCTAAAATCCAGGAATTTAATTTTGCAATTAAGTTAAAGACATTAGTTCCATTTTATCCTCAAGCGAATTTTGGAGTAACTTTTAAAATTACTGGGTTTGAAAGACACAGCTAAAATCACGTTTCCATGGTTACAGATAAATTTACTTCAACTGGGCAAGGGTTGTCTGGGTTTTCCTTATGTCTGTATCATTGTATCGGTTATTAGCGACATTTTGGTAAGGGGTAGGGATGTATTTTTCAATGTCTTTAATTTAATTGCAAAATTAAATTCGTGGCTTTTAGCTTCCATTTTTGAAACATGGTTAGAACTGTGTAGTGAAAAAAACATATTTTAAATCAATTAATTTATAATATATATATATATATATATATATATATTTGTTTGTGTGTGTGTGTATCTGTGTGTGTCTGTGTGTGTGTGTGTGTGTGAGGTCATTCTGACAGGATGCTGCTGATATTATGTAAACCAGTACTACTTGCTGCATGGTCAGGTCATTGGTGACTAAACTGGTCTACCTGGTGAGGAAGGTGAAACTCTGCTAGAAACCCTGCAGGACAAAAAGAAGTCGTGTCAAAGGGCAGACGAACCTCATTGAGAGGTCAACGGCCATCTAGCTATCTCTGCCAGAACCCATAGAAATATTTTGGCTGGTATCCAGATGCACGGCTAGCCCACTGGGGGTTGGACCTCCCAAGCCTTCTGGCAGTCTCCTAGGAGAGGAAAACTTTGATAGAAAAGCAGCCTCATGGCCACACTAGATATCTTGCAACTGCTTGTCTCTGGACGATATGGTTTTGTGGTGATGGTCGATGCAGTGCTGTACAAGCTACATCTGACCTTCAAAAAAATATATATATATATATATATATATATATATATATATATATATATTCAATACAATAAAAATTAAATAAATATATATATATATATATATATATATATATATATATATATATATATTTATATCATTGAGTACAACAGACAATGTGCTTTTATTTAGTTTTTTATACAATTTCTCATACGATCTAATAATTTTTTTTTTTTGGATGATAAATCATATAAAACTGTCCGGATAAAAAAAAGAACATTCAGACAGTTTTTATATAATTTATCATCCGAAAGAAAAAAAATTATTAGATCGCATGAGAAATTGTATAAAAACTAAATAAAAGCAGCTTGTCTGTTGTTTTCAATGAAATGTGCATGAAAGAAGGATTGCTGCCTAAATACACAAATATATATATATATATATATATATATATATATATATATATATATATATATATATAAAAGTAGTCCACCACCAAAAGATATATTGTTGCATACGTTCAAAAAGTAGATAGTTGAAATACTTAACATTCTTTGATTGTTGAGTGAAAAATCTTTGAAGTGCCATGTGCTTGGTAATAATATAACTGGCAAACAATTTTACACTGACAAGAGCTTCAATGCAGCTTATGAGGAACTGAAATGAAACATTTCACATGACTTCAAACACTCTTCTCAGATTAATATGTTTTTTCATCTCATTTTATATCAAAAAGAATTTCGCATATGCTCACTATTTTTTTCTTCTTCTGTTTGGGTGGCAGTTTAATTTCTGTGAAAGAAAGGCTTTCATTGTTTCAAAAACAATTTCACATAGGGTTGCAAATTCCTTTCCTTCTTCTACTTACCTCACTGGTCAATTCTGTGAAGGCAAGGTTTTCATTGGTCCCAAAACAATTTCACGTAGGCTCACAAATTCCTTTCCCACTTTTTCTTAACACACACATCAATTTTTGTGAAGGAAAGGTTTCATTAGGTCTAATGTAAATTTCACATAGGCTCACAAATTCCTTTCTCTTTACATTTTCCTCAGTTATCCGAGTGGGTGAAGGGAGTCATTATTATTTCGCACTCACTAAATCAAACAATTTACTTAATGCAATCTCAAGTTGTATTCTAATAGTTTCTTAACTCACATTTCTCTCTTTCCTTTCGAGCTTCTTGCTTTCCCGTCAACTATGATCTTCAAAAATTGAAATGTAATGTCAGTCATCATTTTCTTTCACTTTGAAACCTGTTCCTTTATTGTCCATTTTCTTCAGCAATATTTTCTCAATAATCTCAGTAGCTCCTTCACTCTCATTTTGACCTTGTGTCTTAGTGGCTTAATCACCTTACTTTTGGAGAAAATACTAAAAACCATATTTTGTTTAATTAGAAAGTATAAAAGCTTTTAAGTCATGGTGTCAATTTGATCTTGAAACTTTATCAAGGAATTTTAATAACACATCTACAAATTAATAGTCATCGACTTATTACAAGCATTAACAGACCACAGAATCTGAGATCATTTAGTTACTAACTGAATTATGTCGATAGAATAATGATTATAAGTTGGTAGAATTACCATTTTTGGTAATGGTAAGTGGAAGCATTATGCCATGTCAAAGTTCTGGACCAGCTTTTTCTGTTCCCTTTGTGCAAAAACCCTACTTCAGCTTAAATAGTAGGGTAAACGAAGCTCTCTAGCCTTGAGTGGTAGCCATTCTAGAAGAAGCGCAGCACTAAATTCAGATTCATAGACAAGCCAAGTGGAAGACACCACTCTACTATTTTTCTCCAAGAGATTGTTGTGGATGGTATATTGGCCCACAAACAGATATTGAATGACAGAAGACAACAACAAACAAAACAAAAGACTTGAGTAAAAATATATTGCCAAGTTTATTTTTGTTAATGAAAATAGATAAAAAATGTTGCAGTTCACAAGGCAAAAAATAATTCTGCAAGCTCATGTAGAGGGTGAGAATAGTGCTCTCCTGAGAAGGACAGTCTTGGTAGTCACTGGAGAGCATTGTCTTAAAAAGGACAATTTCGTGGAGGCTGGAGAGCATTGTCCAGAAAAAGACAGTTTTTTGGTTGCTGTAGAGCATTGTCCTCAAAAGGACAGATTATTGCATATCATTGCTACTGGCAAGGATGGCTGGAGCTGTAGGCCTACTGGAGATGGCTGGAGCAGCAGGAGCTGGAGGCCTACTGGAGATGGCTGAAGTGGCAGGAGCTGGAGGCCTACTGGAGATGGCTGGTGCAGCAGGAGCTGGAGGCCTACTGGAGATGGCTGAAGTGGCAGGAGCTGGAGGCCTACTGGAGATGGCTGGAGCAGCAGGATGGGAGGCTGAGAGGCAGCAGGAGCTGGAGGCCTGGAGATGGCTGAAGTGGCAGGAGCTGGAGGCCTACTGGAGATGGCTGGAGCAGCAGGAGCTGAGGGAGACTGAAGTGGCAGGAGGAGGCCTGAGACTGGAGATGGCTGAGATGGCTGAAGTGGCAGGAGCTGGAGGCCTACTGAGCAGAGGGATGGAGGCACTGAGATGGCTGAAGTGGCAGGAGCTGGAGGCCTACTGGAGATGGCAGCAGGAGCTGGAGGCAGGAGCTGGAGGAGTGGAGGCCTACTGGAGATGGCTGGAGCAGCAGGAGCTGGAGGCCCACTGGAGACTGAGGAGGAGATGGAGGCCCACTGGAGATAGCTGAAGTGGCAGGAGCTGTAAGACTACTGAGATGGCTGAAGTGGCAGGAGCTGGAGTCCTACTGAGATGGCTGGAGCAGCAGGAGATGGCTAGGCCTACTGGAGCAGGAGCTAAGACTACTGGAGAGAAGTGGCAGGAGGAGGCTGGAGATGGCTGGAGGCCGACTGGCTGAAATAGGGCTGAAATGGGAGCAAAAGTTCTCAGTGAAAATGCTGGATAATTTTGCATCAATTTAACCATTCTGATACCAAACATGTGTTCATTCTGTATCTTATTCTCATTCTTTGTTTCCACCTTGTCCTTTTCAATATAGCGAACAACAAATAGACCATTTCTGTAACTGATTAAAAAGATACAAAATTAAATCATTGGCAAATTTCAAGGCAATAAAATAAAAATGAGAGAAAGAATCCCAGTCTTTTAAATTGGTTTTATTTCTAGCATGGAATTGGCTTTCAAATCTGCAAGGAGTTCTGTGACATTCAGGAAAACTTATTCAGAGAGCAAGAAGTGATCAAAAATAAATGTCATACAATTGGCTTTTGTGTTTCACGGGAAAGAGAAGATGAGAGAAAAGTTTTAGCAAAGGAAATCCGTATCGAAAAAATTAAAGAAAGGAGAATGTTAAAAGAATACAAAGAGAAAGAAAGAAAGAAAGAAAAGAAAGAAAGAAAGAAAGTAAGTAAGAAAGTAAGAAAGAAAGAAAGAAAGAAAGAAAGAATTTGCAATGGAAAATAGAAAAGATAAAATAATGTGAAGTGTGAGAAAGAAAGAAAGAAAGAAAGAAAGAAAGAAAGGGATAATAATTTTCCAAAAATAGGGAAAGTATAAAAGAGTTGTGAAAAAGAAGGAAAGAAAGAAAGAAAGAATGAAAGATGAGAGGGTAGTAGTGGAAGCAAAGTAGTGGAAGCAAATCAACAAACATGGATAAAGTGAAAGAAGTTGTAAGCCAGAAAGAAAGAATTAGGAGGAGGAAGAACAAACTTGGATGGAGAGAAACAAGTGGTAAACAAAAAGAAAGAAAGAAAGAAAGAAAGAAAGAAAGAAAGAAAAGGATAATTTTTCTAAAATAGAGGAAATAAAAACGTTGTGAAAAAGAAAGAAAGAAGAGAAGTTAGAAGTTGGAGGAAAAGAACAAACATAGATAAAGAGAAAGAAATGGTAAGCAAGAAAGAAAAAAAAGAAAGAAAGAAAGTGTTATGGTCCTTGTACCCCGGGTGATAGTCCAAGGTAGAACCAATAAAGAAGAACACGAACACGGGTATGGAATAACACAGATACATTACAAACAGGAATATATACAGAGAAGTAGAAAGTGTTACTATGAACAATCAGGTTTAGTAGGGAGAACAATGTAGTCTTGACCAGTATCACTATTCCAATGTCTTGTAGTAATTGTCTGAACGCAACTCTGTTTCGGACTGCCTCTGACTCGACTGACTGACTCGCTCACTCTGACTGACTGACAGACTTCTGATGGACCTCACCCCAGACTTCAGACTGAACTCCCTGCTTCCTCTTGAGGCACAGTATTTATTACGTATGGAATAGTCCGTTATGTTATGATGGTTAAGGTCCCATAACAGAAAGAATGAAAGAAAAGAAAATAGAGAAAGTAAAAAAGTTGTGAAAAAGAAAGAAAGACGAGAAGGGAGAAGTTGGAGGAAAACAACAAACATGGATAAAGAGAAAGAAGTGGTAAGAAAGAAAGAAAGAAAGAAAGAAAGAAAGAAAGAACAAGAGAGAGGAAGACAGAACAAAAAGGTTAATAATTTTTCTGAAATAGAGAATGTAAAAAAAAGATTCATTGTAGGCTCATTGTGAGAGAAGAAAGAAGGATAATATAAGATGAAAAGTTTGTGAAGAGAAATACTCAAGGAAATGATGGAAGATAAACAAAAAATAGGATATTATAAAAAGAAAGAATGAAAAAGAAAAAAACAAATTCTTAAAAAAAAGAGATATAAAGCCAAAAAACAAAAGAAATAAAAAGTCAGAATAGAACTAAGCCAATGTAAAAGAAAGAAATACAAAGTGGAAAGAAAGAAAGAAAGAAAGAAAGAAAGAAAGAAAGAAAGAAGAGATGGGTGTAGTGGGCAGAAAACAACTGTTGTGGTAGGATCCACCTAATTTGCATAGTGGAGTACCGACCATATAAATATGGTTGGTAGCGGGAAGAGAGGGAGGAATCAAGAGATTCAATCCAGAGTCTCTGCCCGACTGCGACTAAGTCAACACATTCTCCAGGAACGGTCTTACCAGGAATATACAAAAGACTATATGTAAATATTGTGTACACTTTCTTGTTTCAATACATTTTGTTCTAAGTACATTTTGTGTTGCATTATTATTCCGTGTATTAGTCAAGTTTCAACAACAACAAACATGGATAAAGAGAAAGAAGTAGTAAGCCAGAAAGAACCAAACAAAGAAAGAAAGAAAGAACATTAGACAAAAAAGAATCAATTGATTCCTTATCAACCTTTTCTTGGTTATTTAAAGCTGAAATATATTTTGTATAGTAAGAATATGTATTTTCTATGAGTGGCTATTGTATTCACAGCTTTTGGGGGATAGCAATGATCTTTTGAAATACAAATTATACTTTTTAACCCATAGCTGTGGGGAGAAGTGATGGATTCAAACCATTCCTTTGCACATGAGTGAATGTAATGAACTTGACTGGAATTCAAGTTTGGGTCTCTGATTTGTCATTACGAGCTGCTATCCATTGCACCGCCCTCACATCCGCATGAGGAAAGGAAAGCAGTCAGTCAGAAAGAAATACTAAAAGAAAGAAAGAAAATAAAATGAAGATGGAAAAAGTCAGGTGAATAGAAAGCGAATAAGAAGAAAGAAAGAAAGTAAAGAGAAAGAAAAAAGAAAAAGAATGATCAATAGAAAGGTAAACATGTCAGAAAGAAAAAATATGAAGAAAAACATAGAAAGAAAGAAAGAAAGAAGGAAACAAAGAAAGAGAGAAAAGAAAGAAAGAAAGAAAGAAAGAAAGAAATTAGATGAACAAAGTAAAAAAATGTGATCAGAACAAGAAAAAAATGGAGAAAAACTCAAAATAGAAATTTGAATTCATTAAAATAAATGAAACAAATATAAAATGAAAAAGGAAGATTTTTTTTTAAAATTAGATATCAAGCAAGTTATACAAAGAAAGAAAGAATGAAAGAAAGAAAAAATGTGCTCAGAATAAGAAAAAAAATGAGGGAAAACACAAAATTAAAAATTGAATATATTAACAAAAAGTAAAGAAGGATAAAAAAAACAATATTTTTAAAAATGAGATATCAAGCAAGTTAGGCAAATAAAGAAAGAATGAAAAAATAAAAGAAAGAAAGAAAGAAAGTCAGACAAAGAGAGACATAATGTAACAAAGAAAGAAAGAAAGAAACAAACAAACAATCAAAGAAACAAAGAAAGAAACAAAGAAAGAAGGAAAGAAAGTCAGACAAAGAGAGACATAATGTAACAAAGAAAGAAAAAAAAAAATCAGACAAAGAGAGACATAATATAACAAAGAAAGAAACAAACAAACAAAAGAAAGAAAGAAAAAGAAAGAAACAAAAAAGAAAGAAAGAAAGAAGGAAAGAAAATCAGACAAAAGAGACATAATGTAACAAAGAAAAAACAAACAAACAAACAATCAAAGAAACAAAAAGAAAGAAAGAAGGAAAGAAAGTCAGACAAAGAGAGACATAATGTAACAAAGAAAGAAAGAAACAAACAAACAAACAATCAAAGAAACAAAGAAAGAAACAAAGAAAGAAGGAAAGAAAGTCAGACAAAGAGAGACATAATGTAACAAAGAAAGAAAGAAAAAAAATCAGACAAAGAGAGACATAATATAACAAAGAAAGAAACAAACAAACAAACAAAGAAAGCAAGAAAGAAAGAAAGAAAGAAAGAAAGAAAGAAAGAAGGAAAGAAAATCAGACAAAAAGAGACATAATGTAACAAAGAAAGAAAGAAACAAACAAACAATCAAAGAAACAAAGAAAGAAAGAAGGAAAGAAAGTCAGACAAAGAGAGACATAATGTAACAAAGAAAGAAAAAAAAAAGACAAAAACATAAAACAAAGAAAGAAACAAACAAACAAAACAAACAAAGAAAGAAAGAAAGAAAAAAAAAAAAGAAAGAAAAGAAAAAAAGATATAATGTAACAAAGAAAGAAAAAAAGAAAGAAAGAAAGAAAATCAAACAAAGAGAGTCATAATGTAACAAAGAAAGAAAGAAAGAAAGTCAGACAAAGAGAGATATAATGTAACAAAGAAAGAAAGAAAAAAAAAATCAAACAAAAGAAAGTAACAAAAAAGAAAGAAAGAAAGAAGACAAAGATAAAGAAACAAAAAGAAAAAAAAAGAAAAGAAAGAAAAGTCAGACAAAGAAAATGTAACAAAGAAAGAAAGAAAGAAAGTCAGACAAAGAGAGATATAATGTAACAAAGAAAGAAAAAAAGAAAGAAAGAAAGAAAAAAGAAAGAAAGATAGTCAGACAAAGAGAGACATAATGTAACAAAGAAGAAAAGAAAGAAAGAAAGATAGTCAGACAAAGAGAGACATAATGTAACAAAGAAGGAAAGAAAAAAAGAAAGAAAGTCAGACAAAGAGAGACATAATGTAACAAAGAAGAAAAGAAAGAAAGAAAGATAGTCAGACAAAGAGAGACATAATGTAACAAAGAAGGAAAGAAAAAAGAAAGTCAGACAAAGAGAGACATAATGTAACAAAGAAGAAAAGAAAGAAAGAAAGAAAGTCAGACAAAGAGAGACATAATGTAACAAAGAAGGAAAGAAAGAAAATGAGACAAAGAGAAACAATATAAAAAAGAAGGAAAGAAAGATAGCAAGAAAAAGAAAAGAAAAAACAAATGAAAAAAATGTGATCAGAACAAGAAAAAAATGAGTGAAAATTTTAATAGATTAAGAAAAAAGAAAGAAAGATATAAGAAAAAAATTATATGCAAGAAAGATAATCAAAAAAAAAATCAAAGAAAGAAAGAAAGAAAGAAAAACAGACACAGAAGGAAAGAAAGAAAGAAAGAAAGAAAGAAAGAATGAACGAATGAATGAAAGAAAGGATGAAAGAAAGTATAAACCAAAGAAGAAATAAAGTCAGACACAGAAGAAAAGAAAGAAAAAAGACTTAATGATTAAAGATGTCTTAATTATGTCTATCAGAAAAAAAAAATGTATTAGTTTGCCAGAATAAAGATTTTTATCCTCATTGGGCACCATAGAACATGGCTTTGTTTCGGACTAAAAATATCTTAGCAAATAACATCTTAGACACTTACTATACTGTAATGGTTAACAAGCTTATCTAACAAAACTTTCTACTGATGCTAATTCAATAAAAACTCAATACACTGCACTGCACTTTTGTGCAATATATAGCTGAGATTCACAGATAACAAAATTACCAAAGTCCGCCCCCAACCGACTTCAAAAATAAAAAAGAAATAATGTATATTCCTTCTCATGATGCATTAATCGTAACACATTTTTGAAAATAATTGTCACTTTAGAATTTGGTGTATATTTAGTTCAATCATTAAAAAGTGATGCCGTTGAAAGAGAATCATATTTCTTAGAGTTAATGATCTACATACATTGCATTTTAGCTTTTTTCCTGTCTCATTGGTACTCTCCCAATCTTTTGTATTGTTTGGAATTAAATCTCATTAACATTTCTTTCTCGATAGTAAATCTGATCTGTTCCATAAGGTCAAATTGGCAGATGACCTAAAAAATGCATGTTGTTAACTGGGGCAAGGAATAGCTTGTTAATTTTAACACCTCCAAAACAAAACTTTTCTCTATTAATCACCTGGAAGATCCCTTCTTGCTTCCTGTCAGCATTGCTGCTACTAACTTCCATGAGAGTAACTAGTTGCACCTTCTAAACTGACATGAAGTGGAAAGATTATATTTAAATCATTGCTACATTTGCTGGTAAGAAATTTGGTTCCCTGATTTGTGCTAGACATTTTTTTTTGTCCTGTATCTATCTTACATATTTAGAAGTCTGTTATTCAAGATTGTTTTGAATATTGATGCCACTAAAGTTCTGGTGTTTCCGCTGTGAATTTAGAGATTCCAAAGAAGAATCAGCAATATTATTGGTCCTGACCTGGCATCTCAACTTCAGTTACTTTCAAACTTCCTTAAAGTAGCTTCTCTGTGTCTTTTCTACAAATTCTTCTAACGGTAATTGTTCAAATGGGCTCTTCACTATGGTACTTAGCCTTTATGAATTTAAGCACAGTGCTAGATTCACAGTTGAATTGGTTAGTTGTAACCGTACGTTCTATGCTAACAGTTTTTTTTCCACACTCTTCACTTGTGGAACCTTCTTCCTGCACCATCCTTTCCAGCCAACTTTGACCTTGAAAACAATTAAATGCAATGTCAATCATTATCTACTGCCTTCCTGATTACTCTTCTTCTATTGTTCTTGTTCTTTAATAATGTTTCTCTTTTTTCCGATTCTTTCCCACATATCTAGTGTCTTAGTCAATTTACTATGTTCCATGGGGTGATATCATTAAAACAAAAAGCCAATTACTGAATTGACGTCATCAAAAGAAGCTTCAGAAATCCACAGATTACATTGTTCTTCAGCTTTACTCTTTATTGCAAAAGAAAGCAAAACAATGTTATTTTTTTAAATTTTTTGCTCTGCAATTCATTAGACACACAAAGACACATGCACACACACGTAAGAGGTGTCTATATTTCTGAGATGAGGTATTATGTACAGTATTTACATTAATCAAACTATTGTCCTCATCTTTGTCGCCATATTTGTCACAACGTTTCGGCCGTTGTACACTCTGGCCTTCTTCAGGTGGTTGGAATTTCGAACTGAACCCTTTATTTCGATCACTGGGGTAGACTGTTCTAGTTCCATGTGCCATGTTTGATGGATGTCAGTTATCAGTTATCTCCTGCTAATTTTCCCTCTGAAAGTTCTCCACTGCCTTAACTGGGTATTGAACTCACACTCTTTGGGTCTGTCACTGGATCTAACCAACGCCTTTATCCACTGTGCCATGTGTCCTTGAGGACACATGGCACATGGAACTAGAATAGTCTACTCCAGTGATCGAAATAAAGGGTTCAGTTCGAAATTCCAACCACCTGAAGAAGGCCTGAGCGTATAACGGCCGAAACGTTGTGACAAATATGGCGACAAAGATGAGGACGATAATCCAACTAATGTAAATACTGTACACGTAAGAGGTGTTGTTGAAAAGCATAATACTGAATTAAGTTAAATGAATTAGATCATTGGTTCTCAACCTTTTTTGGGTCATGCCCCACCTAAATATTTCTAAAATCTAGATGACCCCCTACCACCATGACATAGAATTCTTATTATTCAAAAAGTAAACTCCTTTTCATGATAAACTACATCTGTCAGTAAGGTCTCTGGTCGAGAGATTATAGATTTTGAGGACTGTGAATTCACTTCTTAATTTTCCCTGTCTTCCTTGACCCGTGGTGGTAGCACCTAATAGGGTCCCAGCTATGGGTAAAGAGTAAACTACATCTGTCAGTAAGGTTTCTGGTCGAGAGATTATAGATTTTGAGGAGTGTGAATTCACTTCTTAATTTTCCTTGTCTTCCTTGACCCGTGGTGGTAGCACCTGATAGGGTCCCAGCTATGGGTAAAGAGTAAACTACATCTGTCAGTAAGGTTTCTGGTCGAGAGATTATAGATTTTGAGGACTGTGAATTCACTTCTTAATTTTCCTTGTCTTCCTTGACCCGTGGTGGTAGCACCTGATAGGGTCCCAGCTATGGGCAAAGAGTGAACCCCCATCAAACAAAACACTATGAAAGCATAAAAAAGTATTTCTATAGTAAAAATACCAGCAACACTTTTTATATTAAAGAAATACCAACAAAGCATATTTATAGTAAAATTACCAATGAAACATTTTATGGCTGAATTACCAATAAAATATTTTGAAGCAAAATAACTACCAATACATTTTATCTGTAATGGAGGCCATAAAATTGTGTTCAAAATATTTAGATTTCGGTATTAAATGACACATAGAGATGTTTATATGCTGCAAAAAAAATCAACCAACCTATTCATGTGGAGGAAGAGTAAAAGCCATTAAATTTCCTTAAGAAATTAAGACTGCATATATGCAATAGTATATACAATATACATATGCAATAGTATATATATATATATATATATATATATATATATATATATAGATATAGATATACTAGCAGTAGAGCCTTGCGTTGCCCGGGGATGTAACAGTAAGAGATAGATCAAGTATTGACCATCATAAAGACTGAAAAATAAAATTGACAAAGATTATTGTTTAAGGTTGACGGACACGCATTAGTTTTTTTTTTTTTTTTTTACGAATTGGTCAAACCCAAACAAAAACATTGTTTTCAATCGCTATGAGTCTCTACCGATTGAATAGAATTTTATTATAAACAATTGTCTTGTAAATGGAATTTTTAAAGCATTCTGAATGTAAAAATAAAGAAAAAAGTGTGCAAGACAATAAGAAACACTACATGCCAAAAGAAAAGTGAAGTTTTGTTTTATCGATTGAAAAATGTAGGTAGCCTTTCTGTAATCTTTTAGTTTTACAATTTATGATTTTTACTTATTGAATACAGTAAAAAAATTGCATATTTTGCTTGTGGTGATTCATAATTAGAATTCTGATTTGAATATATTTTCCACTCGTTGTTTCTAATACAAAAAATATTAACTTTATTTGGGTTTATTAATTATGATCTAACAAATCTTATTCATTTATTAGCCTTTCTGTAATAATAATCTTTTACAATTTATGATTTTTACTTATTGAATACAGTAAAAAAAATTGGACACCATGTGTATTTAAACTAAAGTAGTTTCCGGTTATTATTTTTAGTTAGGAGGACTTGTGTATGTTTAGATTTCAATATCTTTCCCTAAAGATAAAGAATTATCCGATGTTTGGATTCGTACAATCAGTAGATATCGTTAGATTATTGTTTAAGGTTGACAGACACGCATGTCTTAATTAGTTTTTTTTTTTTTTTTTTTTATGAATTGGTCAAACTCAAACAAAAACATTGTTTTCAATCATTATGAGTCTCTACCGATTGAATAGAATTTTATTATAAACAATTTTCTTGTAAATGGAATTTTTAAAGCATTCTGAATATTAAAAATAAAGAAAAAAGTGGGCAAGAGAATAAGAAACACGACCTGCCAAAAAAAAAAAGGGAATTTTTGTTTTATCGGCTGAAAAATGTAGGAAATCCGATCCCATATATAAAGGAACCCACACACACAAACAACCCAATGTGAGTTATCTCCCTTTCATTCTCACGATGTCACTTAATCGTGTTTTCAAATTGATTTTGTGCAAAAACAATTGTATTTTTCCCATTTTTGGCGCTGTTAGAACCACCACAAGGTAATTTTATGTAGTCCTGTGAAGTTTTGTTGAAATCGGTTGAAAAATGTAGGAAATCTGATCCAATATATAAACGTTACAGACACACACACACACACACACACAATCTGTGTTTTATAATAAGTAAGATATATATATATATATATTTATATGTAAGCAAATATATGGATATAGATCCGACAGTATGAAGAAAAATATATACGGAAAAAAACAAACAAAAATCCTTATATACAATTATGCTGTTTTAATGTTAATATAATGTCAACGTCGGACGTTTCGGTCTAATAGACCATCTTCAGGACATATTCATAAAATATAATATTATCAATACAACATGACAAAGATGATGTACATAAAAACAAGACTTATCCAAACAAATAACTGAAAGTTTTATAAGATCAGCGCTCCGTTTAAAACATAGTCACGTTGTCGTCACGTGGGCGACGCTGTGAAAACGTATTCCTAAAATTTTGAGTATTTTGAATGAAAAATGAAAAGAATTCTATTTTGAACTAAAATTTATATGTATGCTTGTCGAGCATTAATCTCGCTAGAAAACGAAGCGCTGATCTTATAAAACTTTCAGTTATTTGTTTGGATAAGTCTTTTTCTTATGTACATCGTCTTTGTCATGTTGTATTGATAATGTTATATTTATGAATATGTCCTGAAGATGGTTTATTAGACCAAAACATCCGACGTTGACATATTAACATTAAAACAGCGTAATTGTATATAAGGATTTTTGTTTGTTTTTCCGTATATATTTTTCTTCATATATATATATATATATATATATATATATATATATATATATATATATATATACTAGCAGCATGGCCCGGCATTGCCCGAGCTTGAATCAAAAATCATACCACTCATACAGCAATCGCTATCACTTGACCTAAAATATTTTTGCCCTTCCTTGCCTTTAAAGGAGTGCCCTTGCAGTGCTGATGTTGCTACATGCCTTACTTCTTGCCTATCTCACACTGTGAATTTTTTCTAAGCTCTATACTAAACATGAAATCTTTCACGAAAAAAGAACTAAACAAAATGAACACAAAACGATCAGCTTTAAAAAAGGACTGGTAACTGGAAAAACTGAATGAAAAAAGAATATTAACAACAAATACTTTTTCACACCCAACCCACTTCTGCAGAATCAGAATCAACATTGAGTTTACGAAAGCGAATGAGCCAATTGGAGTAAAGTGCCATGCAGATTTAAATTTTTCTCACTTGTGACAAATGCAGCTATCGATTTTTTTTTTGCATGCTAGTTAACATTCGTGTCAGTCAGCTGTTTGCTCTCACACTGACCAATAGAATCTTCCTGCCTATTCGTGGCAGCAAGCTATTGGCTCTCACTCTGGCCAGTACAAAATGGCAGCAAACTACATGAAAACTGCCGTAGAAGAATTTAAATATCTATTATTTCCACTATTGATGGAAGTTGGGAAATGCAAAGTCAATCTTGGCCTTCCCAAAACTTGGAGCATGTGCATGTAAATTTTGGTGCAAATCCGTCAAAAATGCGGCCGTGTGCATTCACACACACACACACACACACATCCTGCCTTTTTATATATATATATATATATATATATATATATATATATATATATATATATATATAAAATATTGTGTATATATATATATATATATATATATAATCGACTCTCCCGTCGAGATTCAACGTATGAGGGTCAAGCAGATCAGTTTCCAGGAAACCGACAACCCAACACCGGCACATGAGATTTGATTATAGTGGTGAAGGCCTCGTGCAGGACCATCCACACTTATATATATTTATGCAGTACATACATAATTATACATGTACATACATAAACATATATATTTTTATGCCCATATGTATACTGTATATGTACTGTATGTATTAACTTGCACAGGCACTTATACTTGCACAGAATCACTAGAAAAAAATTCACTGTTAATAATACATTCTTGAATTGCTCCTCCTTAAAAATCAAATCGCCCCCACTGTGGGGTATAAAACCACTCCACCCCATTGGGGAACCATGGAGGCTAATAGTCTAGAGGTTTAAAGCATTGGTTTGTGAATTTACCAATAAAGTGATAGTGAGTTCAATCCAGGCAGCAGGCACTTGGCCTCTGCAGAAATTAGGTGAGCAATAACCATGCAGCACTAAATAAGAACTAGACAAGATATCCATGGACCCCCCCATAGACCCCCATGGACCCCCATAAATTAAATAAAGGTTTCAGTTCAAAGGTTAGATGTCTTGACAAGCACCTGATGAAGTCCAGAGGGTATAGCAACTGAAAAAAAATGAGGACAACAGTCCTAGTATAAACAATGAAAATTGGTTATTGGTTCTGTTCTGGCGTCTTGGTTTTAGTCCCTTTCCAAACTCTGTAATGCAGATTCTGTGCACCATTTCTATAAATATTTTTATTGTAATGTAGGGAAAGTTACTGAATAGAATAATCATATGATGGTTTGGTAATGAACGATAATACTCAGGACAAGAACAACACACATAAGATTCACCAGCAGCATATAGAAGTAGTAGTCAACTGCTAGAAGTGAGTCAAGTGAATTCCACAAAGAATCCTCAACTGCAGGATATCTCCCAACCACCCCCTGCTGTCAGATGTGGCACAAGGCCGAATTTAATGTGGCATATCCGAGCCCATATACTCAGCCAAATATTCCCCATAGAGCCCGTATAAAATGGGGCCAGGTAGCTGTTTCCCGAGATGAGACTCTGCCCTTCGACATAGCCTTGTCTAGGGATCCTCTCTGCACAGAGGCAGAGAGATTGTCCAGCATAGCTAGAGACAAATCACCAACTGCAGGATATCTACCAACCACCCCATGCCATCAAATGTGGCACAAGGCTGAATGTAGGTTATCTGAGCCTGTATGCGCAGTCAAAAATTCCCTGTAGACGCCATATAAAACAAGGTTGGGCAGCTGTTTCCTGAGATGAGACTCTGCCCTTCAACATAGCCTTGTCTGGGGATCCTCTCTGCCTGGAGGCAGAGAGTTTGACCAGCAAAGCTGGAGACAAATCTCCAACTCTAGACCATGTACAGTACTCACTACTGTATTAATGGGAATGGGGGCATATCCATTATAATCTATATATCTGCTTCAACAATTTTCATGGTAATTGTTCTAATGCATTTTTGTCTTTGGTGCCTTGACATTACAAATTTAATGGCAGTACAAGATTGGCAGTTAGGTCTCATCATTTTAATGTTGAAATTGCTTGATATACCTGTAAGTTCTATACTAACAGTTTCTTCTCTCATACTTCTTGGTTGTGGAACTCCTTTCTAGACTCTTGTTTTCCATTCAACTTTAACTTCAAAAAATTAAATGCAATGTCAATTGTTAAATTATGTCTCATTCCTGTTCATGTTATTGCTCTCTCTCTTCTTAATAATGTTTATACATTTTCTCATATTCTTTCACACTCAGTAAACCCTTGCATCTTAGTGACTTTATTGCCTTGGTTGGAGGCATATGGTCATATCAAATTGAAACATCGGTTCCCATACAATCACCCAAGTTATGCAACATTATTTTATAGCTAAAATGTCTAGATGTAACCATCAGTTTTATGCTAAATGTTTCTTCAATTCTTGCTTGTGGAACTCTCTTCCAGCTTTTTGCTTTCCAGTCAACGTTGATCTTCAAAAATTTAAATGTACTGTCAATCATCATCTTCTGTCACCTTATTTCCTGTTCTTTTGTCATTCTCTCTCTTTAATAATATTTTTCTCATTCTTTCACACTTAGTAACCTCTTCCCTCTTAGTTGCACTATTGTCTTGCTTGGGATGAAATGATTCATAATAAAATGTAAATATAAGTTTGGTCAAAAAGGTAGACATAGGTCTAATTTACACTACTGTCAAAAGGGATGACATAAGAATTATACTAGAGATAATATGGTCGACATAAATCTTGTTTTCATTTGACTCAAAAAAGTAGATAATGCTCTGGTTTATACTAAAGTAAAAAAACGTGCAGCACATGCTGTGGCTTCCCTCTGTCTTTTCTCCAAATACTTTCATGGCAACTGCTCCAATGAGCTACTTTCACTGGTTCCCAAATTGAATGAATTTAAGCGTACTGCTAGGTTGGCATCTCGGTCCCACCCTTTCACTGTTGAAACGACTAAGTGTATCCATCTCTTCTACTCCAACAGCATCTTATCTTGCACTTCCCATCAGTGGAACTCCCTTCCTATCACTTGCTTCCCTGACAGCTATAATCTTCAAATATTCAAATGTAATGTCAATCGACATCTTCTGATGCCTTGACCTTGATCCCTGTCCTTCTCTTTATCCTTTTTCCAAACACTCCTCTTTACTCTTACTCTCTGTAACCTCTTGAGTGCTAGTGGCACTTCTGCCTTGCTTGGAGGGAATTGCTTAAAAAAAAAAGTCACTATGTATGGATTACCAGTGTTATCTCTGAAAACACTGTGATTACAGCTATTGATTGCTGATAATTGTCAAAGTAGTGAGAGTGAGTTACATAACCAGATAGTTTCATAGAGGCATTACATTTACTGCAGAGCTGTGTTCTAGGGGAAAATAGTCAGATTGAGCACAATCCTCTCCAGGCTGGCTTTGAATTCAAATTTTTACTTCTCCCCTTCTTTGGCTTCTTCTGAGATGGTAATCACCCTAGATTATTGTTATACTCAAGCGACGAGGTGGCCTTGCCTGCATGCGGAGAAATGTGAGAACAGAATGTGGGATTAGGGATAACAGCAAAAGCCATATTTAGCAGTTGTCTGAGAAAATGCAGTAGTAATCTGCAGCTGGTGTAACTCACTCTTGAGTGGTTTGTAACACATCTATTTATCATCTCTCAGGTGCATCTCTGTTTTTGTGCAGAGTGCACTCAGAGGCGACTCCGTCAAAGGACAGAGTCGCAACTGAGGAAAATTATACTGAGAGATGCCCAGCCCTTGAGAACAGCTGCCCGAAGCTGTGCCCTCTCATTGCACCAGAGAGAGGGATTGATGCTCACACCAAGGCCAGTGCAACCAATAGTTGTGGGGGCTGTGGGCAATTTTTGTTCCTGGTCCGGGTGTACATGCTCAGGTCCACACCTTAAAAAAGACCTTGTGTCACAACTCGTCTTATTGGAGATACAGAGTAAATACCTAGTAATTTGCAGTTCAAATTATTCTAAGCATCGCTGAATGCAACTAAATAATAGACACATTAAAAGTTATCATCTCAAGGGGAGAGTGTTCAGTCTTCTTAGCTATTTAATCTATAGCTGGAGGGAGATGGATTCCTATGTTTTCCATGCGCTTTAACATGAACTAAGCAGAATTGAGCAGGAATTGAACACTGGACACCTAATTCCCTTTTCACATCAGTATTCCTTACACTGTGCTTTTCTAAAGAAAGTAGTAATCAGCTCAGTTCTGTTTATGCCATAAGAGAAATTTTATCTAGAGCAGAATTTGAACCATAAAGTCCTGAAAATACGTCTCAGCTGTAATCAATGTAATGATGACAGAAAAATAATTTTTGAAAGATTATTATCTGAAAAACAAAATAAGCCCATCCGTTCCTGTTTGTTTATTTTTTATTTTTTTGGTTTTTATCTTCCTGTTTTGCATAAATATATTGCAAATAGACTTCCAGAAAGAAATAAAAGTGATTAAAATTCTACATTTTGAAATGTGAACATAATTCAATTTTGCGCCATTATTGTTGGAAGAAAAATTTGAATCTGCCATTTGCTTTGTCGTCAAGGTTTTGGTTTATTTTATTTTTGTCGTTTTTGTACACATGTTTTAATTGCATTTGCCTTTTCAGCATCAATCAGTCTGTTTCCTCTCGTACTGTGTGCATTTTATTTTTTTTCTTTTAATTTCCCTCATCCGTTTCCTTCACATCTTTCTTTGCTTCGGGTCAGCTCTTTTTTTTATTTTCATTATTTTTCATATCTGCTTCCTTGTTTTCATTTTTCGATCCATCTTTCTTCCTGGGATTTTTATTTATTTATTTTTATTTCATTCTTTCTTTTCTTCATTAATTCATTCTCTCTTGTATGTTTTTTTTTCTCTTTTAAAGAAAAGAGGAAAAGAACATATAAGAAAGAATGAATATATTTTTTTCCTTCTCTCCCAATAAAATCTTTTTACTCATTTCTTTCTTTTCCTTTTTCTTCTTTCATTGTAATCTGTTTTAACTCAGCTTTTCTCTTTTTTATGTAATCATTCCTTTTCATTTATTTTCTTTCTTTTTAATTCTCTCTCTCTCACTCTCTTTCACTTTTTCTCTTTTTCCTTATTCTCATTTCTTTCTTTTTTTCTGTTTCTTTCCCTTCTTTCTTTCATTGCAATTTTCTCTTTTTATTGGCTTTTCTTTACTTTGCTTCTCTCTTTTTTTTTTTTTGCAATCTCTCTTCTTTTTATTTTTTTTTTTTTCTCTCTCTCTCTCTCTTTCTGTCTGTTTTAATCTTTTTCCATTCTAATTCCTACAATCTTTATATTCTATCAACTTTCTCTCTCTCTTTCTTTCTCTCTGCTTTTCTTTTAATCTTTTTCCATTGAGGTAATCTTTTGTTTTACAATCTTTTTAGTCTTTTCTATCATTTTGTTTCTATCATTTCTTTTCTTTCTTTTTCTGCTATTTTTTTTTTTTAGTTTTTATTTTTTTTCTAATTCTTTTCTTCTATTTTCATTTTTTTTTTTTATTTTTTTTTTTTCTTTTTTTTTTAGTCTTTCTGTCTTTTTGTTTATTTTTGTTTTATTTTTTGTTTCTTCTTTCTTTTTCTTTTTCTTTCTATTTTCATTTTTTAGTTTTGCTTTTTTATTCTAATTGGTTTTTTATTTCTGTTTTTTTTTTTTTTGTCTATTTTTCTTTCTTTCATTCTTTTTTTTTTTCTTTTCCTGTCTGTTAGTTTTCATTCTTTCTTTCTGTCTTTTTTCTTTGTTTCTGTCAGTTTTCACTCTTTCTTTCTTTCTTTTTGTCTTTTTCTCTCTCCTTCTTTCACTTTTCATTGTAGAGTAGATGATAAATTGTCACCATGACTGAAAGTAACATCTTTCTGAATTCTGTCTGGAAAGTGAAAATTCAATCTGACTCTTGTGAAGAGAGATCATGGCTCGTGAAGTTTTGTTTGTCATAATTTCATCTTCACTGATTTTCATATTTATTAGAGGACGTTTAATCCCAAGAGACATTCTAAGAAAGAAGCTTTTTTTCTAATGGTGTTTTGTGCCATTTTTATTTCTGAATATTATATCCAGTTGAAGCTTTCAACTGACTTCTTTCTTTTTTGTCTTTCAGTCCTTTCTTTGTTTTGTGCCATCAAAATTTAATTGAATTCTTTAAATTTTACCTGCATTTTTGAGAAAGATTTAGAAGCAATCCAAAACCCATTCCTAAACAGGAAACAAGAGATAAACCTTTACTCCTGTACAAAAGACTAGGGAGGAAATAAATGTTTAATTTATACAAATTCTTAGATGAATTATTTCTCATTATGGATTTTGTTTACTAGTCTGAAGAATATTCAATTATGAAGCCAGAAGATGAAAAAAAACTCTCTAAAAATTAATAATGAAAATAATTTATCTGCAAATAAACATACTTTCAAATTATTTTCAACAATATGGATTTTCAAATTGTAGAAGTAAGATGATAAGATGTTTGTTCTATCAGCCCTGGAGTTGAAAGCTTCATAAAAAAATAAGAAACTCTGAAAAGTTTTGATGAAAAGAAACTAAAATTAAAATGAAAGAAAATTAATAAGTGTTGAAAATGCTTCATCTAATCAAAATTCCAGATAATATTACTACTACTAATACTACTAGTGGAAATTTTGAAAGAAAGAAAAGACCAAAATCTGACTCTTGTGAAGAGAGATGAAATAAAGCAATTGAAATGAAGATGGCTAGTCAAAATGAATAATGTGACAAGTCCTAATGAAAATTGCAGATAATATTACTACTAATATTTGGAAATAAAGCAATTGAAATGAAGATGAAAGAAATCCTAGTCCAAAATGAATAATTTCCTTCATCTAATGAAAATCCAGATAATATTCTACTACTAATACTACTAGTGGAAATAAAGCAATGGAAATGAAGATGAAATATAGTCCAAAATGAATAATGCTTGAAATGCTTCATCTAATGAAAATTAAGATAATATTACTACTACTAATACTACTAGTGGAAATAAAAAATGATGAAAAAAATCCTAGTCCAAAATGAATAATGCTTTGACAATCTTCATCTAATGAAAACGTTTAATACTACTAGTGGAAATAAACAATTGAAATGAAGAAAGAAGAAAACCTAGTCCAAAATGAATAATTTGGGATAATATTACTACTACTAATACTACTAGTGAAATAAAGCAATTGAAATGAAGATGAAAGAAAACCTAGTCCAAAATGAATAATTGACAAGCTTCATCTAATGAAAATTGCAGATAATATTTACTAATACAGTGGATAAAGCAATTGAAATGAAGATGGTCCAAAATGAATAATGCTTTGACAATGCTTCATTAATGAAAATTGCAGATAATATTACTACTACTAATACTACTAGTGGAAATAAATCAATTGAAATGAAGATGAAAGAAATCCTAGTCCAAAATGAATAATGCTTGACAATACTTCATCTAATGAAAATTGCAGATAATATTACTAACTGACTTACTAGTTCAATTGAAATGAAGATGAAAGAAATTTCCAAAATGAATAATGCTTTGACAATGCTTCATCTAATGAAAATTGCAGATAATATTACTACTACTAACTACTAGTGGAAATAAAAGCAATTGAAAATGAAGATGAAAGCTTTAGTCCAAAATGAATAATGCTTGACAATGCTTCATCTAATGAAAATTGCAGATAAATTTAATTGAATGGAAATAAACAATTGAAATGAAGATGAAAGATAAATTGAATAAAAATACTTCATCTAATGAAAATTGCAGATAATATTACTACTACTAATACTAGTGGAAATAAAAGCAATTGAAATGAAGAGAAAGATTTAATGCTTGACAATGCTTCATCTAATGAAAAACCTACTATTACTACTAGTGGAAATAAACAGGAAAACAAAATGAATAAGATAAATCCAGATAATATTTACTACTAATACTACTAGTGGAAATAAAAAAGAAATGAAGGAGGTCCAAAATAAATGTTTAATGCTTCATCTAATGAAAATTGCAGATAATATTAAACTACTAATACTTAGTGGATGAATTGAAATTTAGTCCAAAATGAATTTGTTTCATCTAATGTCAGATAATAATATTCAATTATGAAATAAAGCAATTGAAATGAAGATGAAAAAAACTCTCCAAAATGAAAATTGACAATGCTTCATCTAATGAAAAAATAATTTATACTACTAAACTAAAAATAAACAATTTCAAATGAAAGAAATTGTCCAAAATGAATAAGCTTGACAAGCTTCATCTAATGAAAATTAATAATATTACTACTACTAAACTACTAGTGGAAATAAAGCAATTGAAATGAAGATGAATGAAATCCTAGTCCAAAATGAATAATGCTTTTGTCATCTAATGAAAATTCAGACGATATACTACTACTAATCTAGTGGAAATAAAGCAATTGAAATGAAGATGAAAGAAATCCTAGTCCAAAATGGCTTTGACAATGCTTCATCTAATGCAGATAAATTACTACTACTAATACTACTAGTGGAAATAAAAATTGAAATTTTGAATAATGCTTGACAATGCTTCATCTAATGAAAAACTAAA